GCCTAGCTTATTGTCTATACTGGTGAATGTATACCTTGTGCATCTGGAAAAGAATGTGTATTATGCCGCTATAGGGCACAGTGTTCTGTAAGTACCATGTAGGCCAAAGTGGTTGATTGTGCTGTTCAGATCTTTGTGTTTCTGTGTAGTTGGTTTATCAATTGCTGAGAAAGAGGTATTAAAACCAGTAATTATGATTAAAGAACTCCCTATTCCTCCCTTTAATTCTGTCAATTTTTGCCTCATTTATTTTGAAGCTGTTATAAGGCACACATACATTTACAACTGTCAAGACGTCTTGTTATCTTTTATCATGATAACATGTCACTTTTTACTTCTGGTAATACCCTTTGTCTTCTTATGCTTACTTTTGCACGGCACACATGTATATATTTCTTGGTATACCTTTTTCCATCTATTTCCTTTCAAGTTCTGTGTCTTTACATTTTTTTTTTTTTTTTGCAGTACACGGGCCTCTCACTGCTGTGGCCTCTCTCGTTGCGGAGCACAGGCTCCGGACGTGCAGGCTCAGCGGCCACGGCTCACGGGCCCAGCCGCTCCGCGGCATGTGGGATCTTCCCAGACCGGGGCACGAATCCGTGTACCCTGCATCGGCAGGTGGACTCTCAACCACTGCACCACCAGGGAAGCCCTTTGTCTTTACATTAAATACATATCTTTTATAGTCAGCATATAAGTAGGTCTTGCATTTTTATGCAGTCTGTCACTCTGATTGTAGTCTTCAGTCCACTAACATAGTGATTGCACCAATCTCCCACCTCTTGGGAGACATACACCCTTGACTTTTCAATCTACTTAAAATATTGTACCACTTCATAAAAAGTGTAGGAACCCCTGCTCTAGTATAGATTCACATAGTCTTGTCTTTTGTTATAAACGGTCATATGAAATAAACATTATAATCTCCGCACACATTATAATTTCTCCTTTAAACAGTCTTACATATTTTAAAGAGGAAAAAAAATAAGTCTTTTATTTTTACTCAGCTATTTACCATTTTCAATGCTCCTCATTCTTTCCTGAAGGTCTAAGTTTCTATCTGGTATCAACTCCCTTCAATCTGAAGAACTTTTTTACTGTTTCTTGTAGTACAGGGTCTATCTAGTGATAGATAGAATCTATCTAGTGATAGATTCTCTTAGTTTTCTTTTACCTAAAAACGCCTTTATTTTGCCTTCATTCTTGCAAGGTATTTCTGCTGAACAGAGATCCTGGGTGACTTTTTTCCCCCGTATGGCACTTTAAAAGATGTTATTTCACTGTCTTCTGGCATCTGTGGTTAGTGGTAAGAAGTAAGCTCTAATTATAACTGTCATTCCTTTATATGTGTCAGTTTTCTCCTTATCTTTCGTTTCGGCAATTTGACTAAGACATACTGGGAAGGAGAGGATGAACTTGGCAGTTCTGGAATGCTCAAATGTGAACATGCCAAAGAAAGGTCTGTCTTCAGGACTGGCCTTTGCCTGGCTTCTGGGAGATGAACTCTGAGCCCTTGGCGTATTCTGGCTGATTAAGTGTTTTTGCATACCTGGGGCCTTGGGCCATGCTGTACCAGCATGACCACTTAAGTCTACCTAAACAATGTGATTTATGGCAAACACCTGTTCTTGCTCTAGGTGGCTGGGGTCTGAGTAGCTGAGGTAAGTCATGAGGATACTGCGTGCCACCCTGAACACCCAGGACTGGGTGAGCTTCCCTAGTTGGCAGCACTTTGCACATGTCACGTGTCCTTGATGGGAGAATTAAGGACAGCTCTTCGCGACTCTACTGGACAGCTCTTCGCGACTCTACTGGACACCTGGAAGCTTGCACCTGGTTCCTCCTGGACTTTATCCCATGTGTCTTTCCCCTTTGTCAATTCTAATCTGTGTCCTTTTGCTGTATACAGTTGAGTATAACAGCTTCTGAATCCTGTGAGTCATTCTAGCAAATCACTGAGCCTGACAGTGGTCTTGGGAACCTCTGACACATGTACCAAGGTATAGTTTTCTTCATCCTTAACCTAGTAAGTGTTTGCTAAGCTTCTTTAATCAGTAAATATGTTTTTCATAAAATTTGAAGGGTTTTTTTCTGCCATTTTATCTTCAAATATGTTCTTCTCCAGCCTCTCACTTTCTTCTCTTCTGGGATTCCAACTATACACGTTAGCTCTTATAATATTGTCCCAAAAGTCCCTGAAGCTTGGTAATATTTTTTTCTTTCTATTCTTCAGGTTGGGTAGTTTTCTGTTCATCTATCATCGAGTTCACTGACTCTTCTATCATCTCAGTTTTACTGTTAAGGCTACTCAGTGAATTTTAATTTTAGCTTCCGTATTATAGAATTCCACTTTGCTCTTTTTTGTTTCTGTTTCTCAGTTGAGATTTCCTTTGTTTTCATTCAGTGCAAGAATATTTTCCTTTACTTCAACTGATCAGTTATAGTAGCTGCCTTTAAACCTGTTTCTCAATTCTAACATATGAAGTTAGTTTCTGTGGGTTGTCTCTTTTCTTCAGACTCAGTTATATTTTCCTGGTTTTTAAGATGTTGTGTAGTTATAGATAATATCTTGGACATTGTGAGTATTATGCTGTACAGCCTCTGGATTCTGTTATATTCCTCTGGAGAGTACCAATATTTCTGTTTTAGTATGCAATTAAATTTGGCTTAGACCCAAACTGCAAACTCTCTGGGCAATCAATACCTCAAATCTTGGTTCAGTTCTTTTATCTTTGTGGTTCAGGGATTAAACAGAAGCTTATATAGAGAGCTCATACTCAGAATTTTAGGCTGTCACTCTCTAGATCTCTCCTTTCCAGGATTCCTCCTCCCCTCACTTTTCAGTGGTCGAATGGCTGTGGCTGACCTGAATTCTGTCCTCTGATAAGTTTTCTATTAAGTTTTAAACCAAGCTGCCAGGTGCCAACTTCAGCCTTCCTCTGGCTAAAAGCAGTAAAAATGGAAAATTAATTTCATGCTATCTCTTCCTGAAAGTGTCAGCCCTTTTTCAGAATCTGTCTGCTTTTGCTCATTTTCCAGTGTTTCCAGGGCTCCCTCGCTGCCCCCACAATTCTGTCCAGAGGACATAGTTACGTGCAGAAAGATCAGGCTCAGTGAAAGCCTACCTGGCCATATTGCAAGAAAAGTCATCGTGATCTTTTTAAAAATTTACTTCAGAATCACTCTGTAGGTATACAGGTTCACTTTTAATGATACCAAAGTAGGTATTATTCTGAAAACCTTGTTTTCTAACTTGTTTTTTTCTACTTTAAGCATTCATCATGTAATAAAAACTCTGCTATATTCAATAATATAGTTTTTATTAATTATGAACATTTTCACATAACAGAAGAAACTTCAACTTTGACAGCAAATTGACAGTAACTAGAAAAATAATGCACATCCCCAGAAGTGAAACTGATAAGCAGTGGCACAACGACCCTAGAGAAATATGTGCATATGTGTAAAAACAGGCAAGTACAAGGATGTTAACTTCAGCACTGTCTATAATAGTAAAAAATGGAAAATAATCCAAATCTTAATTGAAAGGGAAATAACATAGTAATAAAATTGATTACTACACAGCTGTTAAATAGAATTATACATATTTCAACATGAAAAGAGTTAAAAAAACCTAATGTTGAATGAAACAAGTTGCATAACAAAAATAATATTAGTAAAGCTTTAAAAGTACAAAACAGGGCTTCCCTGGTGGCGCAGTGGTTGAGAGCCCGCCTGCCGATGCAGGGCACACGGGTTCGTGCCCCGGTCCGGGAGGATCCCACATGCTGTGGAGCGGCTAGGCCCGTGAGCCATGGCCGCTGAGCCTGCGCCTCCGGAGCCTGTGCTCCGCAGCGGGAGGGGCCACAGCAGTGAGAGGCCCTCATACTACACACACACACACACACACACACACACAAAAGTTTGGAAAACCACAGAGTCCTACATAGCACCTAACACTGACCATACGGTAAGTGCAGAACTTGGTATCAGATTAGAGGTTGGGGGTCACTTTTGAAGGGTTCTATATATCCTTTTTTCATTATACTTTCTAAGACACCAGAACAGAGAGCATTTGAAATAATTTAACTGAAGGCCAATAGGAAAGTAATCACGCAAATAAACAGAAGACAAGGGGAAGGGCTTCTAGTACCATATATTGGGTTTTGGCCTGAAGCATGATAAACAAGATCCAAAGTAGAAGAATGCATGAGTTCTCTAAGTATTACTCACAAAGTTGTACTACAATACTGGTCACCTACTTTCAGAGCATAAAATCTCTGCGGTGTAAGATCAAATTAATTAAAAGTTTCATTTACTATCTTCCCAGCAGGGATTCCTTTATCTTTGATTGCTAAATAGATTTTCCAAGGCCCATAGCAAAAAACCCAAGTGCCAAGCAGTGCTACTATTACAGAGATTTAAAAATAAGCTTTGTGGGCTTCCCTGGTGGCACAGTGGTTGAGAGTCCGCCTGCTGATGCAGGGGACACGGGTTTGTGCCCCAGTCCGGGAAGATCCCACATGCTGCGGAGTGGCTGCGCCCGTGAGCCATGGCCGCTGAGCCTGCGCGTCTGGAGCCTGTGCTCTGCAACGGGAGAGGCCACAACAGTGAGAGGCCTACGTACTGCAAAAATAAATAAATAAATAAATAATAAAAATAAGCTTTGTAAATAAATAAGAGCCTAGCAATATTCTTAAAAGCAGCAATCTCCCCTAGGGCCAACGTATGAGGAAAGGAGAACCTTGAAAAAATTGGACCATAAAATTTTTTCTTTAGGAGAATATTAATTTTAACAGGTAGCCTACTGCTTTGGAAAATATTTGTACAAGAAAACCAAATCAAGCAACCATTAAAAAAAATCTACCTTTTCCCATTTTACTGTATATTTTTATTCTAGCTATAATTTTGGTGATATAAATCAGAGACTAAAAAAAATAGCACTCCAAATAATCACAGCAGAATTAACCACATGCAGTATTTCTAATGTAAACAGTTACCTGAGAATTCTGTCGGAAGTCTTGCTAGGATATCCTTGTTTACCAGTTCAGTCTTGCTAAGGCTGGAAGTGATATCTACCCTAGCAGCTTCTTTGGTAATAGTGGGCTTCTTGGAAATCCCAAGATCAGATCCAGTCTTGACATCTTTGTGTTCTAGGACATCATAGGATCTCTGTGGCCAAGATTCTGGAGCAAATGTTAAAGTCTGCTTGAGTATTTCTTCGGGAGATTCTACTTTATCCTGTACAGAAGCTGACTTCTCAAGCTTCCTTTCATTCAGTTCTTTCAGTGCTTTGATTGTGAGCTGTTCCTGGTCTAAGTCAAGAGATGCTACTGGAGTACCCTGGGTAGGGAAAACATCCAGAAGCTCACTCCCATCTGTTTCTTTGCTTTGTTCATTGTATTTGCCTTCTATGTTTTTAATTTCAGAACCACCTGACTCACTTTCATGTAAAACATCTACAGGAAGAGCTGTTTTAAAGTCCTTAGTTTTCTCTGATGTTGCTTCGAAGGTATTTCCTTCACCTTTACCTACTATTCCTTTCTCTCTGGTTTCTGTAAAGGCTGCTATCAGGTCCTCTGGGGAAGGATCATCTATACCTTTAACACTTTTTTCATGCAATGACTCCAAATAGGCAGAGGCTGTCACATTTCGTGAGAATTCTGTCTTACCATTACAAGCCTTTGGAGATGATTCTGAAGGAAGTTTGGGGTTCTCAGCTGCAAAAAGCTTTTCAGGAGCAACTACACTCATACTATCTGACTGCTTCACATCTTCTGACGTGACATTCATATTAGGTACTTGTGAACATGCTGCCTCACCAGCTGGACTCCTTCCAAGAATATCAGGTTGAACTTGTCGTGGCCCAGAGTCACTGATGGACCTGTCAGAGTTTCCAGATGTTTTGTCTTCCCTATTACAATTAGGAATCTCTTTGATTGCTCTTTCATCTGTTTTTACAACAGCACTTGGGATGGAGACAGGTTTTTCAGCCTGAATTTTGTTGCTCTCAAATGAAGTAACTGCTGTGATGTCCTCTATCACTGTGTCATCAGACTCACTGGAACTATCAGCCTCTGTCACTTCTCCCAACACAGAGGCCTGCCAGTTCATTTCACCTTTCAGGTGGCCATCAGGTAAAACCACTTTCACTGTGGCCACTCCAGAACCAAGAGAGACACATTTCTCAAATGGAGATCCAGGTAACTCTGAAAGTGTGTCATCTCTTTTCTGCACACTGCCTCGCACACCTTTGATACTGATTTCCTGTGTGGAGTTGAGACAGTCTGGCATAGCGTTTTCCTGTGGGAGAGATGTTTCTGCCCAATCACCTGTTGATTTAGGGATAGTAGTGCTCCCACTGATAGAACATACAGGAATTTTCTGATGAGTGTTACTTTTAAGATTTACAACTGGAATTTCTGAAATATATTCACCCATGCCTGGTCCTGTAGCTTTTGTGATGTAGTCAGATTTATCACTCTGCTGTTTTACTTGGGGAACCAAATCCCAAGTCAATATTTCATTAGTAAAGTTATGCATATCATTTACACATCTAGATACCTCCTCCAATGCTGCAGTTGTGTGTGAAAACTGCCTAGTGAGCAACGCAGAGGCTGCGGAACACCCTGTTTCTTTATTTCTCAGTGGAAATACTTTGTCATTAGACTCAGAAATGTCTGCAGGTGATTCTCTATCAATGTGCACTGCCCAGCTACCAAAATCATTTATGTTTTCCTTATATGCGTCTTTAAATTCTCTGTCAAATGCTGCTTTGTCAATAATTACTTCAAATGGTGATTCAGGGGAATCCTTTTCCATAATACCAACTCCTGAAACTTCAGAGGGGGACAAGGAATATGTACAAATACCTTCTGCTTTATACTGCTCGGTGGGTGGCTTCTGGGCTGTTAGCAAAGTGAATTTGTCATCTGCATCCAAGGCAGTTCTATTGTCCCTACTTGGTACCTCATTTGGGTTCTTGGACTCTTGATCTTTATTTATCTGCTGCTGCATGTGACCAACTTCCTCTGAGAGAAAAGCAGGATGACCTGGGAAACTGTCTGGAATGGAAGGACGGTTACAGTGAACTCCTTCTGCAACAGAAACTGGGGAGTCTGCTATGTCTTTACTGGTCCCCTGAGGCTTTTCCATCTTTTTCACATCTAGAAGAGCCAAGCAGTCTTTTCTTTCTTTGGCTAAAATAGGCTGGCTGCCTAACACTTTGCTTTTTTCTCCATGTAGTATTGTAAGGTCAGTGTTATGTATTTCAGAAGATGAACAAAAGAAGGAAGTCATAATTTCTGAAGGTGGCTCATCAGAGCAAAGAGAGCTCAATCCCTCTATGGTCAGAATTTGAAAGAAAAAAAATTGTTTACCAGGTACAATTACACATTAGCTAGTCAGGCCAAGCAGCATGCTTTTTATTTTAAAATTCGTATGTACATATACACACACATAAATGTACATATGTACATATACACACACATAAATATATAACAAAACAATGAGCAACAGTTATCCTATAAGACATGCATAAAATTGTCAGCAGTGAAACAGAAAAGGCTTATCATGCTACAAATTGCAAAAGACAAAACATTTTCACGACAAAATACTTTTCAATTTACTTTTTCCCTTTAATGGTAAAACATGGATAATAAGATGGATAATCTGGGGAAGTGTTTTTCCTTTGGTATTTGGTATAGCTATTCAACAGAAACAATGTAATCCGTATAAAACAAACAACTCGATATTATGAAGTACTGATATGCTCTCATCTGTAGGGGGAACAATTCAGGACACACACCTTCTACAAAACCACTGTTAGAGTCTGACGGTCTGAAAAGGAAAAAAAGAAGTGACCAGAGTTCCCCCCCACCCCCAGAGATATAGCGGACGCCTCCTAAGCCTAAAAATCAGACTAGAAGTAGTCTATTCCATCCATAGGGAAGATGGGCCCCAGGAACAGATGGCCTCGATGTCTTAAACTAAAGGGCACTGAAAAGGTTGGTCTGTTCCAAAATCTCTTGCACCACCTTGCCAATTCAAACAAAACCGAACTGTGTAAATTGGTTTCCTTTATTAAGAAGAGTAAACTTCAGAAATCCTTTTAAAACAGAAAATATCCCCCTAAAAGTAATACATTAATTAAGTCTTAACAGTTTTTAATATCACAGTAGCCACTAATTTACCACACTGCTTTCCAACTAACCAATCTAGGAAGTTTTTACTGGGGAAAAGATCAGAACAACTGTCCCAAGCGCAGGCACTATCTTTCTTACACACTGTTATATCTCTGGAGTTGGAACAAAGTAGGTCTTAAATAAATAGTTCCAAATGAATGAATCAAACATTCAGCTTGGTCAGATGAGACCTAAGTAGGCTCGGGACAGCAATGCTTTCCTTGAGTGTGAATGAGTAATTGGGAAGATGTGAAAGAGAAAAAGCTTTGGGATTACTTTTACTCAGCTTATGTTCTTTTTCAGTGATAAGCTGAATAATAACCAGACAAAAGCAAAATTATGATTTATTCAAAACCATTTTATAAAGATGAAAAGAAATAATATCTTACTGCAAGAAATAAAATTCCACTATTATAAAAATGTTTCCAAATGCCAGATAAAGTTCCCCTATTTTAATACATCACTGAAATCTGATCTAATAGGATCTCTGACTTTTAGAACAGTGCAACTGTAATCATCGGGAGGCGGGGCAGGGAAAGTCTTTGTAAATTGAGGAAAAATAAAGTTTGGTGGTATAAACTGTACCAATGAGACAGAAGTAAGCTGTAATTCATATTTAATTCTAATGCAGTAAACATGGCTTGCATCTATCACTGTACAGTATGGATACTCAGCAAGACTGGATTAAGGATAAATGAAGCTCACCACTGTAGGTTAAAATGTTTTAAAAAACCTGAAATTTAAAGAACTATAGCCTACATTTAAATCAGAAATATTCCGCAGGACTCCCCTGGTGGCACAGGGGTTAAGAATCCGCCTGCCAATGCAGGGGACACGGGTTCAAGCCCTGGTCCAGGAAGGTCCCACATGCCACGGAGCAACTAAGCCCGTGCACCACAACTACTGAGCCTGCACTCTAGAGCCCGCGAACCACAAGAAGAAGCGGCCACAATGAGACGCCTGCGCACCACAACGGAGTAGCCCCTGCTCAAGGCAACCAGAGGAAGCCCGTGCACAGCAACGAAGACCCAGCACGGCCAAAAATAAATACATAAATAAATAAATTTATTTTTAAAAAAGGAAAAAAGAAATATTCCACAATCTGAACTATGTATTATCACTGAATTTACTGATGACTGTTCCTACCAGGAAACATTCAATGGACTAAATCTGGAATAAGGTAAAACTGCGACCGCCCCCCTCCCTTCAAACAGGTTTGGAGGACTTCCCTGGTGGCGCAATGATTAAGAATCTGCCTGCCAGTGCAGGGGACACGGGTTCGAGCCCTGGTCCGGGAAGATCCAACATGCTGTGGAGCAACTAAGCCCATGCACCACAACTGCTGAGCCTGTGCTCTAGAGCCCGCGAGCCACAACTACTGAGCCTGCGTGCCACAATACTGAAGCCTGCACGCCTAGAGCCCGTGCTCCGCAACAAGAGAAGCCACCACAATGAGAAGCCTGTGGACCACAACTAAGAGTAGCCCCGGCTCACTGCAACTAGAGAAAGCCTGCGTGTAGCAACAAAGACCCAACGTGGCCAAAAATAAATAATTTTAAAAACAAACAAACAAACAGGAATGGAACCTTGAGGTGAACAAAACTGACTCCACCTCAGAGTGAAAGTTCAGCTTATATGTTTTATAGAGACTGAGATTTCAGAAGATTTAGACCTGTCATTTTACAGAAACAAGTGGACAAAATGAATTAGTAATAATTCATTAGTAATTACTGAGTGCCATTATCATGTGCCTGACACTGCTTTAGAAACTAGATTAAAAGCAGTGAACAACACAGAAAAAATCCTTGCCTTTGTGGAGCTTACAATACAGAGTGGGAGACAGAAAATAAGCAAAATCAATAAGTAAAATGATGATGATGTAGAGGTGGGTTGGATGAAATGAAAAAGAAAGCAACCTATGTTGAATGCTAATGAAAGAATGCACACAGTACTACAAACAAAAAAAGCATGGTAGGGAGTTCCCTGGCTGTCCAGTGGTTAGGACTTGGTGCTTTCACTGCCGTGGGCCCTGGTCAGGCAACTAAGATCCCGCAAGCCACACAGTGCGGCCAAAAAAAAAAAAAAAGCATGGTAGAAATATTTTGCTTTGTCAGGACACAAACTTTTCAGTTTTCTAAGCCTTGTTTCTTTTCTAACTTCCTTGAACTCTTTTTTTTTTTTTTTTTTTTAAGTTTTTTTGACGTGGACCATTTAAAAAATCTTTATGGAATTTGCTACAATATTGCTTCTGTTTTATGTTTTGGTTTTTTGGCTGAGAGGTATGTGGGATCTTAGCTCCCCGACAAGGGACTGAACCCGCACCCCTGCATTGAAAGGTGAAGTCTTAACCAATGGACCGCCAGGGAAGTCCCTCCTTGAACTCTTAAACACTCCAAAAGTTTCAAGTTAGGTACATAATAAACTGAGGTAAAGCTAGAAGATTAGGTTAGAAATCGTATTCTCAGAATAACAACAAGTTCTGTACTGAATGCCATGACTGCTTGACAGACTTCAAGCATTTTACTGAAGATCTGTCAATATGATGTAACTATTATATATACAAAAGAACTTGAATCATGTTCCCTAACAATAATTTTGTGACTTAATACTTGGATTGGATAGTGTTTTCAGGGCACGGGTTTAGGGGGTAAACAGAGTATGATGTTGCATTCATTCCTCAGTGATTGTGAGATGCAGATATTAGCTCTCATGATTGTCAATCAAGGTTTCCCACATGTAGCAAAATAAGTTAGCATCCTCATCTTTGTTTTAATTTTAATAATTATCTTGTTTAGAATTTCAGCAAATGGAAAGAAGTTTATTTGGCTACTTGAAACCCTCACAAACTTGAACAGAGCTGACTTGTACCAAGACAATGAAAAAACTGGTCTGGAAGTAAACAACTTATAATGGCATGAAAACATTAAATAAAACAAAGACCAGAATCTAATAAGCCTTTAGAAACTAAGTTCCCATAAGTAAAGACTCTTCCAATGAGTCAGTATGACGCAATAGTCATTTGTGTTGTCAAAGTCTGTACCTGGCAAAACAGCAGAAAACTCCAGGGAGTTTGAAGGGTGTTAGGTTTTAAAAATACTATACCCTGGAAAACTGCCTGATGGAATAACTCTGGATTATCTTACATCTCAGAAAATGTCCACTACCTTTCCTTTTTCAAAAGATCCAACCCTTCACATGCACTACAAGATATTTTCAACATTACTCAAAACAAATGTCTGTCAAAAATCTCATTATATTTTCTAGATTAGTTATTTGCTATAATGCAATTTAACATGCACATTCATTTTCAAAAAGTCTAGTTACTCAAAAATATAGCATTATTCTAATTATTAACAAGCAAGTTACACATCTAACAGACTTGTCAAAAAGGGAATCAATATATGGTAAGAGGTGAAAAATGTCATAACCCCGCAAAGATCCCAATGTTCCCAAATGTATTCAGTAATGAGCTCCTTGCTTACTCAATTTCTTCTTAAACTCTAAATATTCAGAAGTCTCCATTTAAGTATATTATCTTAAATAAGACTAGGAATTTAAGTTGGCAGTCATATTCTAAATTTCTAGACCACTCCCAAACCAAAAATTCCTATTAGAAGATGCAAAATCTGGTCTTCTCTGGTAGCGCAGTGGTTAAGAATCCGCCTGCCAATGCAGGGGACATGGGTTCGAGCGCTGGTCCGGGAAGATCCCACATGCCGCCGAGCAACTAAGCCCGTGCACCACAACTACTGAGCCTGTGGGCTAGAGCCTGCGAGCCACAACTACTGAGTCTGCATGCCACAACTACTGAAGCCTGCACGCCTAGAGCCCATGATCTGCAACAAGAGGAGCCACTGCAACGAGAAGCCCGCGCACCACAACAAAGAGCACCCCCCGCAACTAGAGAAAGCCCACGCGCAGCAACGAAGACGCAACGCAGCCAAAAAAAAACCAAACAAACCAACCAAAAAGATGCAAAATCCTTTCATCACACTTACTAATCGTGTGGCTTTAATCTCGGTTCCTTAATCTTAAAGTTGCTTAATATCATCTGAAAATTGAAAACTGGGATACTAAAGCACCTAACTTGAGAACTGCTGTGAGGATTAAATGAGTTAATACATGTGAAGTGCTTAGAACAGGATCTGGCACTTAATAAA